TACGACCATTGCAACGATTTACAGATTACTGACTTGTCATTTATGTCACACTTGGTGAATTTGCATAGATTAACAGAACACAGGAACGTAGATTACGAGCAGAATTATATATCATTGGCATAGCCAGATAATTGAGCTTATACCGCTATATAGAGACTATCGGATAACAGTTTAGTCAGAATGGCAATGAATGTATACTATAGATAGCAGTCATCTCAACATTTTTAAGTAATATTAATATTTGGATTTACTATAGGTATAATAATAAAAATAAACCTATTTAATGGATAAACCACAATAATTCGATTGTTTCAACTCCTACTCCCATTACTCTTTTGGTCTTCAATATACCACCCTTAAGACCATGGTTACTCAGATGATAGTTTACTGAATACTATTATTTTTCAATGATTCAAAAAATTATTAATTTAATATTAATTTAAATATATATCTATATTAATTTAATAAATCTTTTATACTTTAATATATCATGTTAAATTGTGTTAGTCTATGAACGCCGGTCATAAGTTCCTAGGACCTGTAAAATATAACTTAGGAAACTTTATTTGTATTGATCCAACAACCCAGTTATCAAGACTGGTTCACGTAGTAGGAATAGTTAACCAATTATTTCTTAAATGGATAGGATTTGGTATAAATATCGACAGCCACTTAGTTYAAATTAACAAGTTAAGTGTGTTGAAATTTGGCGGAGGCGTCAGAACTATTTGGTTGGCCAAAAATTGTCCATAATTTATTACTAGCACAATAATATTGATTTTGGTATCAAAAAATAGTTTACGTCTTTATTTGTTTAATAATAATTTTTAAATTTTAACCTATATTATTTATTATTCCCGAAAAACTTAAATTAATTTAARCAATAATTTAATTTGATTTGATTATAAAAACTTATTTATTTTGTATATTAAGTATTTTAAAAAAAGCGGSAAATAATCAAACCATTCATATTTMTCAACGTAATTGATTAATTTTAAACATTTAAACTGAGATAAGTTGATAGATAGATGTCTGCAGTGCACTTTACGCCAAACAAATGTATATCATAATTCATAATATATTGAAACAGTTAGGCGTTAATGCAAATATAACTGAAGTTTTTCTAATTTTAGAAAAATAAAATTATCCAGCCATGTTAAACAAATCGCTGAACTTAATTTTGAGATTYTTTTTTTCATTATAAAATCGTATTTACTTTAAGAATTACAATTTACAACTAGGGATTTTGACAGGTTTTAAAATACAAATGAACGGCGATTATCAGTTAACATATTTTTGTAAAGAGAAAAGCTTCATTCTACATCAATGTAAGAAAATGGCGAATACTTGAAATGTACAAAGTCGTTAATTTTAAAATCWTCTGTATAGCCATCTGTTGTTGTTTCTTCTCCTGACATGATTTTTTAAATTTTTGACAGTGTCTTAAACCACTCAGTTTTCTCGATAATTTGTTCCWATTTATTGTAAATTACAACACCTTTTRGAACTTTAATTGCTTTTAATTTTTGAACTATCTACAATTTAAATTTCTTCATTTAAAAGTGTTCCCTGAGTTTCTAAAAAGGGAATGGCTAATGATAAGAAACCACAGTTTGTGTGAATAAATATTAAACTCGATTTAACATTTTTATCACATTTTTATCACATATTATTTTTTTATTGCCATAGCATTGAGCATATCTATCATTTTTTTAATGGCGTACAGGAGCTTTGTGTCCAAATTATTCAATGTGAGCTGGTGCTTTCAAAAATCTTTTTTTCATGTTGGATACCTACCTATAAGTCAATGGATTTTATATTTCTAACTCTACTTGATTTTTTCACATAATCGATGAAGACCGTGGCCCAAACAGGTTACATAAATAATCTTGGAGTAATAGGCCTATATGGATTTTGCCGCTTTCACCAATGTGAATATAGGTGCTGCATCGGCAAAAACAAAATAATGTCATCTTGTTGTATTCTTTTTGACCATAATGAAAAAAGTGTTTTGTCGAAGAGTTTACTGATCTTAGTGTTTGCTTTATCTAGAACTTCTAAGGCAAGTAAAACAATTTTACCAGGCTCATTTACCGGTAACCTACCAATTATAACATTTGCAACATATCGCCCTTCTGAATTTGTCATCTCGTTAATCAAGACCCAAATACTTTTTCCTTTGYACTTCATCTCTTATCTTGTCGACCGTTTCTTGGTAGCTATCTTTGATATAGGTTAGGTAAACGTAGACTTATAATTTTACACTGGTTTTTTTGTTATGTTCGTGACGTTTTTATTGTAGTGATCACGTCGCCTACAGGTATCAGTAGTCAAGGATGATGTTTGGAAGGTGACTCTTGAGTTAATTACACAACGTAGAATTCTTCTTAATTAGATTAATTG